GCTCTGCTCCGCCTCAAAGCAAAGCTCTCTGAGTGGTTCATGACGGCGGGAACGTCAAACGTGGCAAGGTGATGGGTGGGGGTGCATGGTGGAAGCTGGAGTACTTTTTCTATCCAAATACGCGTAGGATAAAGTCTTGAAATAGTGCTTTTAAAATAGCAACTAAACAGCCAAGAGGCCTGGATATAAAAAAAGGGCTTTGCACTGCAGAGGGGACGGCACTGCAGAATTTGTGGTGCCACCACTGAAAAGGCCGTTGCCGTAATAGCCCCCTGCCTCATGTTGTTTGGCAGGGACTCCTGGAGAGAGACCTTGGTAGGCGATCTCAGGCTCCAGGCAGGTGTTTCAGCTGCTGTTCTTGTGCCGGGGGTGGGCGGGACGTGCGGGGTTTTACAAAATGCCACTAACGTTGCCGTTCAAACTGCTCAGGTCTCACTTTTGCGGAGCACAGTGCAAGCGGTTTCCTGGCTTCCCGGACCAAATCTGCAGCTGAGGCCAAATGACTTTGTCCAGCCAAGCAGCATGGAAAAAGCATACAAAAAAGTACAACAGAATACCACATACTCTTATCCAAAGAAGCCTAAAGAATATAAGCCGCGAAAGGCATCCGTGAAACATGGCCCTATAAAAGAGCCACCTGGAATGGGCAATTCCCGCAAGCCCCTGGGAAGGCAGCCGTGTTGCTAAAAGCCACAGCATAAAAGACTATCTTACCCTGGCGCCAAAAAATGACCAGGTTGGGAGATCGTTCCACAGATGAGGGCCACCACAGAGAAGTCCCTTCCTCTTCTCGTCACCCTCCAGACCTCCCTCCAAATGGGCAAGCAGAGGAAGGCCCCAGATGTTGAGGGTGGAGCATGGGTCAGTTGTGGTCAGGAGTGTCACCCTGCCCAGATTGCAGCTCCAGGCCAAGCCATTGTGGGGGTGCCCCACTGCATCTTTTGAGCCCCAAATTGCAGGGAGGCACCCGGCCCCACTGGTCTGCTGACCAGGGAGACCTGCTGCAGCAAAGGCCCAGGGCTCCCAGGACCTCCAGGGATCTGAGCGCTGGGAATGGCGGCCCTTTGGCCCACCTGCACCTCCGCCCTCGCATCTCTCCGCCAGGGCTTTTTCTCCTGAAATCAAATGCCATCCTCCCCCCTGTCCACACGGCCCTGCTTCAGACGGGGTGTCCCTCGCAGGCAGGGTCTCGCTCAGAGGGCCTTTGAGCCCCGGAGCCTTTCGGCACCTATCACCACCCCTCACACAGGATCTCCCCTCGCATCCCTCCAGGCCTAAGTTTCCCTCGGCTTCATCTCCCCTTGAGATCTTTCCAAATCCAGTGAGCCTGCTGCCGGGAGGCTTCGCTCTCTCGAGCAAGGAACTAGCGGGGCTGCCAGAAAATTCAGCGAGGCGCAGCCAGGGCTCGGCCGGCTGGGTGACTCACAGGACCGCTGGGGCAGTTGGCCTGGGCGGGGGGGGGGGGGGGGGGGGGGGGGGAGTAGAAATTTGCCTCTGCAACCACCCCGCCCCCCCTTACCCTTTTTT